TGGAGAGTTATCTTAGCAGATAAGAGCACCGTCTTCTCTTTTATAAGCCCTCAGTTTAAAATTCCCAGAGGGTGACTCATAAATGTTTGTCTGTAACTACAGTTCCAGGTGTGTGAGGCATCCATAGACACCAGACACACTCATGGTGCACAGATGAGCATGCAGGTAAAACACTTCTACATGTGAAGTAAAAAAAAATATATATATATATATATATATATAATTACATTCTGTCTTATAATGAGTATCAGGCATTTCGTTAAGTCAAGTAAATTAGTCCTGACAAAGATATGTCAAAGATTATTCCACTTACATGGGATATGAAAATGCTGATAAAACTTAAGGAAATGGAGGGTAGAATTGTGTCTGCAGGGGCTTGGAGAAGGAGTAGATATTTAGTGAGTTTAAGCTCCAGGAATCTGCTGGACAGCACTGTTTTTGTAGCTAATAACACTGTACTGTTTTCAAACATACTTTTTCTTATGTTAAATGTTTTTGAGAGGTTTGGAAAAAAATGTGTCCTGTGAGGGAGGGGGAAAAAGAAACTTGTTTAAAAAAAGCACAGTGGTCAAACACAAGTAGGAGGATCTGCAGATATAGGTTCTGGAGTCACAGGGGGCCTGAAAGCCATCTGTGGCAGTGCTATCCAAAAGTGTCACCATGGTAAGGGGCTTAGCTGTGTGGTCCTTCATGACAGAATAATGCAGATACCAATCTCCCAAAGTTAACCGATGACTGAACTTCCTGAAGCCAAGGAAAGAAAGCTTAGTGCTCCCTACTTCATTCAAGTGGCAGAAGCTTGAGAAATGAAAGCAAGAAGAAATGTGCATAACGGTGATTAAAGGCCCTTCCCCTCTTGTTTTTGTAGCTTGCATATGCTTCCAGGAGTTTGCCATGAACCCAGAGGAGTGCACAGAGATATCAGCCATGCTGCATCTCTTGCTACTTTAGCTGTGTGGAGGCTAAGATTCAGATTTAGTTTTGTTGATTGAGAGGGGAAAAATGATTAATTTTAAAACACCTGACCTATGGTCTAAGGTTTATACTCAGTTAAAAAATAGTTCAATTCCCTTATTGATAATCCTGTTAGTCAGTACCTGTTGTGTATCTGACACTTCATAAAATCTAGTTGGTTTAGATCAAGAGGTTATGGATGTAGCTAGTGCCTCATAGTAAATAAATGAGAGGGTCGACTGTAAATTCAAGTCTGCGTGTTTGTAGAGGTTGGGCGTTTGCTCACATGACCTCCTGAAGCCTGGGACTGAGTAGTCCTGGGGCAAGTGGAGGGAATTTTTAACTGGGGAGAATAACCAAATTGTGGCAACTACTGACACTAGAGATTGCACGCTTAATTAGGTGTTGATTGCTCCTCCCTGGAATGTTCCAGTCCTTTCTTCTATCTTTATATATATGCACTGCTGAGTTTCTTAATATCAGCTGTGGAAGAAGACAATAAGAGAAGACACTAAGAGTAGAACGTGTTGTCTCCTCAGGATATTTGAAGAGTTGGTGTTCTGACCTCCAGATTTGTGGGTAAACAGATTATAGAAAGCAATAACCTGCGACTTCATTGCTGACTGAATGACATGGCTGAGGGGAAGGGTTCTAATTAGATTCAGTAAGTCATGTCTAGGTTTGTACAGCTCTGGGCCATGTTAACAAATAGTTTCATGGATTCTGCTGTAAGTTATGATTATGAATGCATATAGTGGAAGAGTACTTCCAGATGGCTGCAGCCTAGCATTGCCAGTTGAGCTAGTGACATTTTGCCTGAGAAGGCAGTATTGCCAAGAGCATTGGGGGTACCATTTTGGCAGTCTATTATTATTATTATTTTAACTGAGTGTTTCCTTAGGAAAAAAGTCTACCAAGTTTATGTACTTCATCATACAACGTAGCAACTCTTCATTTACTTTTATGGTTGAGACAGTTTACGGTGGTTTGAATAAAAATGACCCCCATAGGCTCATATATTTGAATGCTTAGCCACCAGGGAGTGGCAGTCCTTGACAGGATTAGAAGGATTAACAAGTGTGGCCTTGTTGGAGGACGTGTGTCACTGGGAGGTGGGCTTTGAGGTTTCAAAAGCCAGTGCCAGGCCCAGTCTTTCCTCCTGTGGACCAGGATATAACTCTCAGCTATTGTTCCAACATCTGCCTGCCTGCCGCCATACTTCCAGCTATGATGATAATGAACTAAACCCCTGAAGCTGTAAGCAAGCTCCCAGTGAAATGCTTTGTCTTATAATAGTTGCCTTGGTCATGGTGTTTCTTCACAGCAACAGAACAGTGACTAAGACAGCACTTGATTTTGTAAGCTTAAAAGGTTGATCCAGATACACCAAGTGAAGGTGCTCTCTAGCAAACGAAAGCCCTGCTTTTGAGACTACATCTTTTTTTTGGATGACTAAGTTTTAAGGTATTTTATATAATGGACTTGTCATGGACAGAGACATTTCTTCATCTGTTCACACGTGTCTGCACAAATGATAGAGTAAAGCAGACGAGCATTCAATATGAAAAGTGAAGGCAGAAATGGAATGAGGAGGACAGAAGCCCATGTAAGCCCTGGGTATAATACGTCATCCATGCGGATGGCTTGCTAATGTTTCTAAAATGAAAATAGATTCCAGAGAGTTAATACATTTTGCCTTGGGATAAAATAGAATTGGGGGCTGAGAGAGTCCACAGGGAGGCGCAAAGCTGGGTCCTCTACAAGGTTTGGTGGAGTCCCCGGGAATGGAGGTGGTGTGGGAGGACAGGTCCCTGTGATTGGCCTACTAGGGATAGGGGTATGACAGGGAAATCACAGCAGAAGACAGGAAGAAGACTGAAGACGGCCTGCCAGGCCAGTGTGGCCAAAGGGTTCCCAGGTGGAGAATACTCCAGGTATTAGAGACTGATACAAAGAGATGCGGGGTGTGTGTGTGTGTGAAAAACAATTTGGTTCTGCAGCAAGAGAAATTCTTAAACATTCCAGAGAATGGAGGCAGAACCAGCCCTGAAAGCAATTTGCTACAGGTATGGGCATCAGCTATTGTCTTTAAAGAAGTAGAAAGTTTGAAAAATGGATTGATTATGAGACTGTATTCAGATCTGCCTATATTAACACTTTCTAAAGGCACAAATTACTCTCACACCACTAAAATTCTTATTCCCATAGGATAAAAAATATGTTGATATACACATTTTGCTATTCATTGGTATCATGGCATTCTATCTGTGGAGTGAATGCTAAACAGATGGTCATGGTAACCCAGCAGGAAAGTAGCCAGCCTCTACTTGTATATATGTGTGTATGCCAGGTAAAAGTAGCCAGCCTCTACTTGTATATATGTGTGTATGCCAGGTAAAAGTAGCCAGCCTCTACTTGTATATATGTGTGTATGCCAGGTAAAAGTAGCCAGCCTTTACTTGTATATATGTGTGTATGCCAGGTAAAAGGCACTTTTTTTCTATGTGCTTTGAAACTTGTCACAAATTTATCTAAGGTATAGCTCACACATTGTAAGTGAACACTGTGAGCTGAGAAATTAATTATATAAACAGTGCCAAACGTGTTTATCTGTTTGCTCATGTTGTGTTTTAGATAGATTACATTCACAATAACTGAAATTAGAAAACCCCTTGGTAATGCTCCATGTGGTTCAGTTTAAAAATATTTTACAAACTGAATTATTGCATTTCATAAGAAAACCTTTAGGACTTCATTTAAGGCACACTTCTATATGGTGACATGTTTACTCCATCTATTATTGGTTATTAGCGATCATACAAGAGTTAAGAAGCTAAAGGTAGTCAAGAAACACTATTTTAGATAGTGGACTCCTCAACCGCAGTGCATGAATATTTTTTTACAAATAATTCATTATTTATATTAAGATCTCCTTTACCTTTTGTATTTAATGAAAACACAGTTTAAAGATTAACATCAAAAGTTTTCTTTAGATTCTTAGAGTTGGGTTTTTATTTTTTAGATAAATACTGAATGTTCAGAAAGAGTTTTATTCTTTAAATTAAATTGAAGTTGAATCAAAATCATCCCATTTTGCTCAAGCAAATATCCCCAGTTGGGACCTGAGATGTCTTTCTGATGCTAAGGATTCTCATCTTGATGTGCAGTCCTCTGAAATAAACATGATTCATTGTTCATGAGGTCTCACTGCTTCACTTCTCAGGGCTGTGCTGTGGAATGGAAGATGCTTTTGTCTGACCCAGGAGTCCCACTGACTACTGTCTCGCTTGTAACCATGAAGACTTCTGTCTGTATGTACTGCCCGTTAGCACAACTTGCCCTTTCCTCTTTTCTTTTGTAAATGGTAAGCCTTTCATACAAGTTAACCTTTATTTTTGACATATTCATATACAATTGGGCCCAAAGATGAAGCAAGGCATTCTTATTATCCATGGTAACTCTTAGACACTACTAAAATTATTTTATTCTAAAACATTTTTGTTATTCTAAAGTATCAGTTGTTGTCTTTAAACAATTGGAATTTTGAAAGAAATTGATTCGGGGATGTAATACATTCAGATTTGCATACATTGATATTTTTGAAAAGGATGAATTAGGTCCAATTTCCATAGAATGAAAAAGTATCTGATTTCTACCCTGTAAGGACAGGAAAAAAAGTAAAGAATACATACATGGAGACTACTAAAAACGCCAACACAAGTGAGTGAGTTATCTTATCAAATATGCTTATAGGATTCTTGGAATGACTTGAGATGAAGGGAGTATCCCTGGAGTAAGAAGGCATGGAGTCAAGAATTCTTGTTGAGGGGGTAATAATTGTGTGAGGGAAAAGAATACTGCATGTGAGAGATGGGGAGAAGATGAGAAGCTAAGTAAAGGCAAAGAGTAAAACTGATAATTCATGCTCGATGGTCTCACCTACATTGTTAAAGAATTAAGGTATGTAGTGGTTGCAAGATTTGTTTTGAAAGTTTGAAAAATGTGCCTGCTTGAGGTTCCTAGAAAGCCATTTCACCAGTTAGTATCTTCTATAACTACCCGGTATTCCCAGGCGGTCTCCCATCCAAGTACTAACCAGGCCCGACCCTGCTTAGCTTCCGAGATCAGACGAGATCGGGCGCGTTCAGGGTGGTATGGCCGGAGACCTTCTATAACTACCAATGCAGGTGGTTGCACTGGAAATTACAATTCAAATACCCAAGTCTCTTGTCAGTCCTCTTAGCTGTCTACCAGAACTAGTGAGTAAGGCCATGCTCTGGAAGACACCACACATCTTGGTTGTAAGAAGCAGACTGGGAGTGGGGATGGAACCTTTGTCCTTCTGCTAGCATTCACGACATGGAAGTGCCAAGCAGGCAGCTGAGGGAAAAGGAACTGGGCATCTTCCCCAGCTGTGAACCCTTTGAAACAGGTCAATCTGTTAGGCAAGATAAGAAAAGTAATCAGAGTTTTGAGGAGGAGGAGGAGGAGGTAAAGGCTGGAAATGTAGGACAAGTCGTAATTTAGAGTGTCGTGGGCCATGGCAAGTCATAATGTAGAGTGTCACGGGCCATGTTTACTATGGTTCTACTCTAGGCTCCTTTGTCATTTAGGGAGAGCAGCTTAGGGGAATGAATTGTTGGTGAGCAGCAGTATGCCATTAAGCTGTGATTTTTGGGTCGCTGTGTTCTAGAGACAAAGAAAAAAAATCTAATACATAGAGGCTTTGTTATGTAAAATTAGCTTGTCTGCAAATATATATTCATATATGATATATCTAAATCATATATGTATATACACATACATATATGTATTTTCTAGACACACAATGCACATATAACTAAGAAAATATGAGTTTTAATTACCTCTAATTTTCAGTATTATTCCTGCACATTTACTTTATATGTCCCAAGATTAAAATTTAAGGGCATTTGGTCATAGCTCAGAAAATTGCAGAGAAAGAGTACAGTTTGCACAGAAAAACTGTAGTGATATCTCTAGAGATACTGCATTATGTAGGTGTTACAATAATTTTAGAGAGTTGTTGGAAATATTGCACCCTGTCACATTTTATTAGAATTATCACTTTATAATTGCTTTTATACAGTGAATTCATTTGCTTATCTGCATTTTATGTTCTTCTTTTGCTACCAAGACTTATTAAATTCTAGTTTGAGAAGTAACAGTTGTTCTACCTTGCCCACTACTGCTTATTTTTTAAAAAATTTTGTTCTATTAATAAAACCAGATTTGTCACTGCTGTATACTTAACGTAGGAATGAAGTAGTTTCTATGAATGTTAGGCAAATGCAGAGCTTGAGACTCATTGATACGAAGTGACCTGGGCAAGGACACACACCTGGTCGCACAGTTGGGATCCAGAAGTATTTTTTTAGATACAGTTGCAATAAACATATGTCAGAGTTGAAACCAAGGACTAAAACTGGGTAAGAGGTCAAGAGCTTCAGCCTGTTCAATTTCAGGATACAGTTTCATCCTTCCACAAGGACAGGTGAGACCTCCACTGCAGAGTCTGTGTCTCAGAACAAAAGAACTCATGTTGTTTTAGTGAAAACAAGGCAGTTGAATGAATTAGATGTAAGAATGAAACATGTCTTACAAACCTTATGCAGTAACAATTTCAGTAAGATGCACTGGCAAAGTATGATTTGTTCTTATTCTTTTATACTTTATATATGTCCTAAACCACAAGGCATCTAGAAGGAAAAAGATATAGTAATCTAGTGCTGTGAGACTGTTATTAATGACCCAAACAAGTGTATAATAAAAACCCAATGAATTTAAGTGAGTCATTTGAAAACATCTAATGCTTTATGAACTGGAAATCACATGTGGGCTTCTGCGTTGGAACTTCTCTCCCCATTTGTGACTCTGTCTTTCATTTTTCTTTGTTGAGACAAGAAGTTACAGGCCTGAAGGAGAAAGCTTGTTTCTCGTTTATCAAAGAAATGACTTTGACCCGTCTCTTCCCATTTCTCCTTTGATCTTTTGCAGAATTTGGGAAAACTGTCTAAATCATTCCTGATCTTACTGCTAATTGGTATCTTTTTGGTTGCCTTAGTATCAAAGGGAAAGATTAAATGACTGTGGGGACCACACTTTATTACTTGGTTTTGTCCTGAGCATGGCTCTTTAGGTTTAGATTGGATTGACTGGATATTGTAGAGACATCTCTGTAGGGAGAGATCTACGTACCCACAGCACTGACCACTATATGTGCCGTAGACTTGTCGTCAAGCTCATTTGTTATGGACATTTTCTCAGTCAAGGTTTCTCCCTTCCAACTGACTCCAGCTTGTGGCAAATTGACACAAGACTAGCCCCCACAGGATTGTACATCCTTGATGAGTAGAGTCTACCATGTGAGTACTGGGGTGCCTTTCAAATGGGTAATGGAGTGGAGAACATATTGCTATCCCAGAAAGTAGTATAGCTGCTTTAGAACTATTATCAGGCTGTAGATACATGTTATTGTAACTAAGACCCAGTTACTTGCTCAGAAAGAACTTGCACATACAAAGTCCTAGGGGAAGATGAATGGATAACCACATGATGACATTGCATCTTTGGGAGGCCTTAAAGTCCTAGGGGAAGATGAATGGATAACCACATGATGATATTGCATCTTTGGGAGGCCTTAAAGCCAGAAATGGAAAACCAAATGAGGACATCTTGTCTTTGAGAGACCTTAAAGCCAGATCAAAAAGTCACTTAAGGGTAAATGATGGAGTGGTGAACAGGTAAGTGCAGGATCGCCACTATACTCACTGCTATAGGAGAAGAAAAGTCTCCTAACTAGCAGCCAACCTTGATAGTCCTTGGCCATGATGGCTGAGGTTACCTGTGAATGAAGAGCATCCATGTGATCAAGAGACTCCATATAGAATTATAGGTTTATTGTTGCCTTCTAATGTGCAAAACACTGGGCCTTCTGTGCATTCTACAGCTGAATGGGCCTTGCGTCTCTGTAATTCCCCTAAACACTGGGGTCAATGGGCAGCAGACGATGGATGTGGGGATATGAAAATCTGGGGTCTATGTGTAGAAGAAAAGTTTATTCTAAGTTAAGTCAACCATCTCCCTACCACCCTTCCCAATTGCACTGTCCATATTTGTGCCCCGAAAGAGAGCATACTGGTGGTTCAGGTAATGCTGGGACATACCCTGAAAACCACCAGTGGAAAGTTTTGCCTGAAAGTGTGAACTATAAAGTAAATAATATGTGGTTGGGTGAGATGGGAGGCTATGAAGTTGCATACCCTGAGTGGAGCTATAAATATAAACAGTATAGATTGTCTGGGGGCTATTACAAAATTACAGAAACTAAAAGATCAGAAACATTACTTACATAGGTCAAAGCCCTTTCAATGATCTGGCATGGCTTATGAGGAACTCAGATGACTTCTGGACAGTTAGGAATAGAGAGCCAAATAAACTATGTTCTAGTCATGTCTCTGTACCTAACAATGGTGTTTTGAAAAATCAACTGTCAAAGTGATGGGCTCTTTACATGCTGTATTTTACTCCGTTAACATCTTTTCTTTCAGGTATGCCCTTAGCTGTGATATCCCAGACCAATTTTCATTCACCTGGAACTGTCATCAGTGGGCCTATGGGATACATCTTCAAAGTTACCTTCACTCCTTGTGCTATTTGTCATGGGATGATGGCCTTGGACTTTGCCTTGTTACCCTGCCCACCCTCTGTTAAAAAGTTTGATTACATAGATGATATAATGCTAACCTCTAAGCGTTTTACAGATTTAGAAAAAAAATCTAAAAAGATTTAGACATACTAGTCTGCTTAAAGGACTAAGGATGAAAAATCAATCCTGACAAGGTGTCAGGGCCAGTCATAACTATAAATTTTCTGGAAGTATTATGGTTGCATAAGATGAATACAATATCTGAAAAGTTTATTGAGAAAATCCAGCAACAACCTATGCTTAGAAGTGTAAAAACAGGTAGCTTTTCCTTTCAGTTTCCAGAGCATGAGAATTTTCATACCGGTTTTTCCAAATCGCTTCTCGTTTGTATACGTTGGTAAAAATGGGTGCCATGAGGAAATGATGATTGGAACAAAATATGTTGAGAGGATTTTTATCAGGCTAAGATCCTTATAGGACAGCAGTGTGTTTAAGCACTCTACTGTCCTTTCCTGTTAGAAGTGACTACAAGCCTTCAGGGCCGCATTTGGGGACTGTGATGAAAATGATCAGGGTAAAACACTTCTAATACAGTTTTATTGCCAGACATGGAAATGGCAAGAAGCTTGATACAGTGTTAGAACAGCAATTGCTTACACAGTATTGCAGCAGACGGGATCCAACACCACTAACAATGAAAATAGCTTATCCGACAGAGGACTGGATTAAGTGCCTTTGGCTCAGGCTGTTTCTGGGGCAGTACAGAATCAACTCTGCAAGGGTGATATGCCTGTTCACAGAAATGTGGTATGGTGCCTGCAGCCTTGTCACCAATGCCTTTTAAGTCATGAAATCTCATCTATCAACTGAACCAACAACATTCTCTTGCTTTAAGAGTTGGAGAAACAAGATGGTGACTGAACTAGACTTTCTCCTGTGATGGCTGACTTTTATTTTGCAAGAAGGTGCTCTTAAGACTGTTAGAGAAGAATTTTTTTTTGCCAATAGTACTGGTTGCTTAGACCCTTTGTACGATATTACCAACATGCCAAGCAAGATGTACCCACTGGTACTTCCTAAAGGTGCAGTGAAGACAGAAACAGCAGGCTACCTGGACAGTCACCCAAGGTCTCACAGCAATGTCAGGTCAACCAACTTTGGCTGAGGCCTAAAGTATCAGACAGACCATCACAGAAGCAGGGAATATGAAAAACTGCTTTACCTTGACTTGCAAGGTTCAGCAGTCTTCTTTAAGTTTATCTCCTGCATGCTCAGTTAGGACAGCATGTCCAAGGTCAGCAATACAGGTGTGGGCAGTTCTTTGCCCAAGAGGCCAGTAGCTGAGGAGAGACTGAACTCCACATGGAGTGTCATCAGTGCCTAACATACTCTCAGGAATAGCTTGGTGCTGTCAGGAGCAATTCTGTCTCATGTCAATGGAGTACTAATACTAAAATATTTAAATGCCGTATCCTGCAGGCCTTTGAATTGTTTGAAGAT